ATGTTAGTGCAATTAATAGGGCTGTCAAAACTGAGAGCATTGTCCTTGTTTCAGACTGTCCCACAACATTATCGGCTTTGTGGACCACTTTATTGAGCCAGTTGGCATCTGCAAACTGCAACCTGCTGCCCCAGCATGCAACAGCAAAGAGGATGGCACTGGCCACAACAAACTCATAGAAAATCGTCAACCACCTCAGAAAATTACCTGGGCACTCTCGAGTGCAGTAGTGTTTTTTTACCCAGTCCAGTTTATTTTCAGTGTGTACTTATATTTACAGTGCTCCACTATGTCTGCATTGACCCTTTGATTAAAACAGGGGTCACGGGTTTCCTGGTCTTCCTAAAGTACAAAATCAATTATTTGGTCTTTTTCACTTTAAACTGCAGAGGATTTTGCTCACACTACATGACAAAGGGGTCCACCACAGCCTGGCACTCATCACCCTCAGTGATGCATCCAACCACCGCAGAGTCATCAGAAAATGATGATGGCAGGTCTTGCAGTGGCTGAAGTTTGTGATGTAGAGGGTGAAGAGAAAGGGGAGAGGACCGTCTCTTGTGATGCCACTGTTTTGCTGATCACCTTGTCAGACACCTTGTGTTGAAGATGCATTTATTGTGGTTGTCCTGTCAGGTAATCAACAATCTAGGACCAAGAGTGACCTGACTATGTCGAGAGTGATTTAGGAAAATTATGGCCAGTGCTGTGGCTAAGAATAAATGAAGCAGGCAAAAATAATGCTTTACATAAAGCATGTGTAGTCTTACCCACACTAAACGACCAATTACAGTTATTCTAGTATCCATGTCACTCTGCTGCAACAGTATGTAATTGGTAAAGGTGTTAGCAATCATTTTATTCACCATCGATCTTACACATGGCAAAATGCAACCTGTAAACAAGCAAAGCAACGCCAATAATGTAAGAATGGGAGTCAAAAACTTTAAGAACATATTCCACCATGGTCCAGATGTCAACCAGGCTATCCAGCCTTGTGACGCGTCTCCTGATGTGTGGTCTGCCACATATTTCTGCAAAGCAGTCAAGTTTTGCAGTGCCTCATAGATGTCTCCTCCAGTCGTATATCCATCCGGAATAAACGTACAACATGTCTCTCCAATCAGCTTACACACTCCTCCTTGTGATGCTGTTATCAAGTCTAGGGTCAGCCTGTTCTGCAGTACCATCGTTCTGATGGCCTGTTGCTCCTCCGCTAAGGCTGTTCCCAGAGTCTTAGTGAGATTAATGTGTCGCAGTAGGGCATATCGGTTGATCTCCACATGATCCCGCACCTCTGCAACTCCGATGTTTGGGATCAAACTTTGGAAGAACTTAGGTCCTCCACTCCAAATGCGGAATTCTCGCGGCACTCCAGTGTCTACTGTCACTCCAAACGAGTCAGGTGAGGCTAAATTCACCTCACGCTTCTGTTGGTTGCTAGCGTGATGTTCAACTCTGTCCATGAAGAAGACATGATCGGATAATTTCACCACGGCACACAATCCTCCCCATCCCTCAGGGAGTGATAGATAGGCTTTATGTCCACACAGGAAATACCAATCAGCCAAAACTCTTGTTCCTTTGCTGCTCGGCACCGTCCTTGAACATCCTGTCCACTTCTGACTCTTTGCCTTTACTGGTATCCTGTAAGCCCGGTTGGACTTGCATTCAGTCCTCCTTAATGTCAAGTTCTCAGCGCACTTTGCATCGGTCAAGTATACCTGTTGTAGTGACTTGTGAATAATTTAATTCAGGTTTAGGTAAATAGGGCCAGACCACAGTCACATCAAGCCATGTTATATTGATAATAAAGGGGCAGCCAAAAGTAGCTAGGCAGCCCCATAACAGAATGGCCGTGCTGTGTAGATCAATTAACTTGTTGAATACTTAAATTAATGCGGTGTGAATTTGGAAAGCATGTAAGTCAAGCTGTTTTTTCACTCTAAAATGTAAAGATGTCCCCTAAATGAACCACACACACTCACGTCTTGATGCATTCTCAATCATCCAGGAGATGATTGGAGATTCACACACACTCACATTTTTGTTTTGAAAAGAAGAGTTATAAACATATACTCACTGAATGTGACGTTGTCAAGGAAGAAGGTGGTGTGGTGAGCTTTTTTGAGAACTGTGGTTTCACGCTGTGATGAAATTCTTAAACGTTACATGTTTTTGGGCAGCTCTTATATTTCACACCAATTTCAAGTCCTGTTGGAGGGACTTGGGAATGCATTACTGTCAATCAATATCCTCTCAAAGAGCCATATAAATATACAGTGGGGCAAAAAAGTATTTAGTCAGCCACCGATTGTGCAAGTTCCCCACCTAAAATGATGACAGAGGTCAGTAATTTGCACCAGAGGTACACTTCAACTGTGAGAGACAGAATGTGAAAAAAAAATCCATGAATTCACATGGTAGGATTTGTAAAGAATTTATTCGTAAATCAGGGTGGATAATAAGTATTTGGTCAATAACAAAAATACAACTCAGTACTTTGTAACATAACCTTTGTTGGCAATAACAGAGGTCAAACGTTTACTATAGGTCTTTACCAGGTTTGCACACACAGTAGCTGGTATTTTGGCCCTAGTCTAGTCTAGTCTACCCTCTTCCTGACCAAGGATGGGATGTTTGCCTTCGTGCTTTTATGTTATATGACCCTTTTGACCACACACACACACACACACACACACAGTATTCTTTGTTCACATGTATACCTATGTAAGATGCTATATGTTAATGACCCTATGCATATTCATGTAACCACAATAAAAGGAGTGCTATGGGGAGCCTGGCTGAGAGTCTGACAGAGGTCAAGTGGTGGGACGACACTTGGCTCCAGGCAGATCTCCCTCATGCATGAGTAAACCAGAGCCTTGTGTCTTGCTTTTTGCTGCGTAGCAGATTGTCTGCAAATTACCTGCAAATTAGGGGCATAATACTATAAATAAGACTTTGCCAGTGTGGTTCTTTATCACAACTGATCAAGATGGCAAAAGATTATCTGCTGTGAGGGCCATCCAATTGATTTTGGAAAAGAGAGGGGCTTCGGATGATGATGTTGACAAAGAGGTTTCAGAATATTTCACATTTCTGAAAATTCAGAGTCTGACAGGGACTTTGAAGAAGAGGATGAGGTTGAGCACCATTTAGTAACAAAACGAAGACGAGCACCCCATCTGCTGCCAGCTCCAGGACCAGAACAAGCCCACCAGACAGCAAGTGAAGAAATATGGATGTCAATAACTGGTGAAATTGAATGGTCTTCTTGCCCAAGAAATGAGCCACCCTGCAGAGCTGCTACTGGCCAGGGCCAACACGGCTGACAGTTACTCATGTGCAGGACATCAAGTCTTCATTTGAGCTTTTCATCCCAGATTCCATCCAGAAAATTATTCTGGATTGCAGTAATCTAGAAGGAAGGTGTGTTTTTGGAGAGAGGTGGAAGGAGATGGAACAAATTCATCTAAGAACCCAAAGGCCTACTTTGGGGTTCTTATCCTTGCAGGAGTTTTCAGGTCCGAAGGGGAATCCACAGAACCCCTGTGGGATGCAGAAACTGGCAAGAACCTTTCCGTGCATCAATGTCTCTGGAAAACTTCCACAAAATTTCCAGGATTATCCGTTTTGATAACCGAGACGACAGACCAGCTCGACGGCAGAGAGACAAGCTAGCTGCCATCAGGACAGTGTGGGATAAGTGTGTGCACCACCTCCCCTGTTTTACAACCCTGGGCCTAATGTCACCATTGATGAGCAGCTGATCCATTTAGTTGTGAAACATATTGCTTCACGTGTAAATGTGTTGTGTCTTTCCACGCACTCCACTTGATTATAACTGATTTATTTTTTTTATAACATTTTATAAAAAAAACAAAAAAAAAACAAGAAGCACATTAATTCATAAATGTGATCTAACAAAGGGAAAGGGAAAAAAATTAACCATCTTTGCTGTTCATATGGCTTGTAATTGGGATGAAGTAAACATCTGTTGAGTAATTTAACATAAAATTGTTTGATAGTGTTAATTTGGAAAGCCAAAACTCTAGTGGGTCCACCAGACCCATGAACACTGGCTGAGTAACAAAAATATGAACACCACACAAGGGTTAAAGCTTAGACATCAGACTGCGTTACAGTCTCTTTTCTCTTGGATCTGTATAATGTTAGTGGGTGTGGAACACTGTTATTCAGCAGGTGGGTAAAATATCTAAGAGTTGGCTTAAAGGAACTGATAGGGAGCTAAAACAGCTATCAAGCATGTGCAAAGTAATAGAAGAAAAACATGGAGTTAGAGCAGCTAGTACCCTTTAGGTCTTCCTCCAGAAAACCTCAGTATTTAAATAAATGCACAAATTTATGACAAGACATCAGCGATTGTATTAAATTGCATTACTTGCACAGAAGTAAAACAACTTGCCATTTATTTTACAAGAAAATGCATTTACACGTGAGGATTTTAATGGCACAAACAACAATCTTTAGACAATGTTATTTTACAGTTTAACAAGAAAATATTCAAGCCCCAAGTAAGAGAGGCAGGGAGTTTGTGGTGCTGACAGAAAGTCAGGCATTAGTGGCAATTATGTCAATACCACTTATTCTGGCTCAGAAAATAAACAAATAAAAAAAATAAACTGCCTCTTCCACAGTACAATACAAACTGAATTCATCATAGTGTGGATAAAGATTCAAAATCACCACAATTTCAAACAAATCTATTATCAAAACAATCCTGAAACTGCAGTTTCTGGTCCTTAGACGTCCAGCACCAGCAAGCAGTCAAATAGCAGCATGTACAACAGGAATCATGTAAAGAAATACACTGTCCATAAAAGGAATCCATAATGAATCCAAAAGTATCACTTATTTTCCAACAAACAGCGTTGCTGGTACTTTCCCCCATATGAATGACAGCAGTCATCCACAGACAGGCACGTTTCCAAAATATACACATTTCGCTAATTCTGTTATTAAACACTTTGTTTTAATACTAGGAGTCTATCATATAATCTATCAACAGTATCTTTCACCGTTTACCTGCTTATCACTGTTCAAATAAATGCTTTCACAGACAATCTGTGACCATGTTCCATCCAGTCAATTGTCCAGTTCGATATCAGCAGCAGGAAAGATGCAGAGTATCCTCTGGATACTTGGGAGTGAGCTCTGTCATTACTACAAGGACTCTTCATCAGAAACACTGTCTGCATTTACCTTTGTCAGGAGATCGAGCTCCTCACTGTCCTGCAACACAAAAAAGAGACAAGGCATCAGAATGAATGAACAAGTGATCAAATCCAGTGGACAAATCTGCAGACATTGAGGCACTGTGCACATCTTTTTTCTGTTTTCAGAAAGTGGAGGGCAGTATTTACTCCCCGAAAAACACCGGGGAAGTACCGTGCATTTTAAAGCCACGGCTGCCAATGGAGAGGGTATTTTTGTTAGTGCTCTCGCAAAGAAACAAACACCTGAAACCTGGCATTTCACCTGAATTACAGGGTTTCTTCAATACAGAACAGGACGCTGGGGATGAAAAGAATTCCAGGATAGTATCCCCACAGACTACTGTATTGTTAAATAGCTTCTTCCATCAAAAAACACTTGACTACTAAAGGAATTCTATGACGTAAGGCTCCAGCATGAGCCTGGATGCTATTTTCATAGCTGGGAATCAGGTTTCCTCTTGCACTCAAGAAATGACATTACAGAGAAACAAGAGCCAAGTTTCCTGCAGAGCACTTGGTATGTGGGCGGGAGTAGAGGAAGTGGATATACATCGGGGTTAGGTGAGCGAAGTTGTGTGAGGAAAAGGAGTGTGTGGCTTGTGTGCGTGACTACTGAGGATTTGTGGTTTGTCTCCTACCCCTCTTGACCTCTCAAACACTTCCCCGTTGATGACCCGTAGTTTCTCCCGCTGCAGGCTATATTCCAGGTCCTTGGGCCAGCTGGCATTGTAGATAAAGATGGCCAGCAGGACCGTGGGTGCCTGGAGGAAGAAGTCCAGCGAAGGGTGGAAGTCAAAGAGGAAGAGGGAGAGGCCTGTGACCAGAACAGTAGTGAACTGGCCAGTCAGCACATGGAACATGTTGTCTCTGAATTTTAAGATGAAGGCCACGGATAAGCCCAGGGCAGCTAGGGAGAACACAGAAGATTATGAGTTCTTCAAATGCATACTAGAGATAGATAAATGAACTAGTCCAGTTAATAACAAATTACACCCAGCAGCTGGATTAGTGTAACTTAGCACTGATGCCAGAAGCAGGACCAAATACCCACCAGGCTCTGTTCAAAGGCATAAAACAACTCAAGTACCAGCAGCTTACAAGATCACAAGTTAAGATGATTTTGTCTGTAGACGACAGAAATTGTACAAAGTAGTGGTTTTGCATGCTACAGTCTTTTGGAGCCCCCACCCCAACCCCTCCTCTATTTACGCCAGCTTTCATCTGATTGGCTGCCCCTACATCTGAGCTTCTACAAACAGAACCAGGTGCTGCACCACTTCCTCTGCTTATCAATTTGACAGACTTCCTTCAACCCAGCCATGCCTTCCAGCTCATCCTGGAGGACACAGTATTCCCCAAGCCCGCTGAGACCTCCTCCCAGTAGGACATGGCCAAAAACATCTCACCTACCAAGGAGTCCAGGAGGAATCCTGGTTAGATGCCCCGAGTACCTCAACTGTCTTCTTTTGATGAACATATTTTCTCTTCCTCAAGCAACTTATATAATCCACATGGACATGTTTGCATATAATTCAAAGCAGCAAACTAATTAAATTAAATTAAATTAAATTAGAGTGGACATCTCCAGCAACAGAAATGACAGTAGGAGATCTCAGTTCAATCAACATCACACTTATGCCTGCTTGATATTCATCTTCCAGTCATATGCTGTATAAAACAGTATTCAAATGTCCCTCTGATGTGAGAATGATGCACTACAGTGCTGACTGAAGTTATCAATCTTGTGATAGGCAGAAACACCAAAAGTTAAAAATGGAACAGTCAGGTCACTAAACTGCTGAGACTGGAGTGGGGCTGGTGGAAACTGCGGCAGACCAGGGCACTGAAACATAGACAGACAGTTCTTTTGCAATGAAAAACATAAACACCCATGCTCCCGGTAGGTTTCCGCTGTGTCAGCTGTTTACATTATAGGTGCTTATGCAGTAACCATGGTAACCACGGACTCTGAGCGGCTGGATCGACGGAGGTCAGACAACAATTTTACATATATGATCTTCAAACAGGACACAGCCATTATCCGTCCTGGCCTCATATCAAATGTGAACGCAGACTGAGTCTATGTTTGACGTTTGCTTTATATCTAATCTTCCTCTCAAACATTTAAACAGTAGCGAGTCTGCAGCTGAGGGAACACAAACTCAAATTGTCGGAACAGGTTTGCTCGTTTCTTGCGTGTATTCATTTGGTGATTTATTAAATGTGTAACTGTTATTCTAATCTGCTGCTGAGTCTCTTACGCTGATGAAAATGCAGAAAACACAGATCACGAACACCTGTTCAACCAATCACTTTCATTCCACTTTGATCTGCGACAAACTGACGGTTCATCTCTGTTACAGTGTTGCGTTAGACTGCTATATTTTTTGTTCTTTATGCTGTAGATTTTCACGTCTCTGGAATAGTTGGCAGTAATAAGGATGATCTTCTGTAAAATCATATTGATATGACCCGTGACATATTCGTACATGTCAGTTAGACTAGTCAGCTGGGAAACTGTTAACTCATAGAGCTGAAGATATCGTGGATATGCTGACCTCGCTCCGTGGTGTACAGGGCCGTTACCCTCATGATTACTATTCACAATAAAAATATTAGCCGAACATCATGAAGTCTGTATGTGTTTCATAGTGTCGAACAACCTTTGTACAGTTAAAGCCAGCAGTTACTACATGACGGAAACACCAACATTATCTCATTTATACGTTTATACGCAGGTCACGCTGATTACTGAACAAAAACCCAAAGATCAGCTCTTAATCAAATTTATTTGCTCTCTCTCCTCCTTAAACATGTTTTTAATGTTAGTTATAATTCAGAATTGGCGACTGAACATCAGGAAATAAAACCCCGATAAATATAACCTCAGTAAAAGAAGTCAGTGTCAGCGGGGTTATTACAGCTGTGTACCGGGGCCTGCGCTTTGTCAGTGGTAATAACAACTTGATTGCTTGCGAGGCAAACGGGTCTATCCTGGGCAGACATCTCCAAAATCATCGAAGCACTTTGCAAAGAGGCTGTATCTGACAAACCGACCAGACATATGAAGATTAAATCACTACATTCTCGCTAAAAAAAATATTAAAACGGTATTTGGTGGCACACAAACAGGGTTTTTCAAAGTTCAGTTCTGTGAGTTTCCACATGCTGGTTGTTGTGTGCTAAAAACAATGGCCACCAGGCCAAAGCAATGGTTTTGACTCGATCAGTGTTAACCCCGCCTCCTGAGTTTGATGGGTGAGGTTGACAGATAAAATTATTTCATGGTGAGACCTGAAGGAGTCAACTGTGCCAAAATGAATTAATTAAATACACAATTAAATAATTATTTAAATGTGGCAATAATTAATTAAAATGTGAAATAAATAAATAAATAAATAAATAATTAAATGTGTCAATAATTAATTAATTACATTTGTTGTAAATATTATGTAATTAATTATTTCCGATAATTAATTAATTTGTGCATGTAAATGGAGAGTCCTCTTCACACACTGAGGTTAATTATGGAGTTCCACAGGGTTCAGTGCTAGGACCAATTCTGTTTACATTATACATGCTTCCCAGCAAGAGCAGCAGTCATCAGGAACAGAGGAGCTTTTAGACAGAATGCTCTTCCAGTGTAGCAGTAACAATGTGTGCCCTGATTCCCTTGGTAAGAGTTTTGATTGTTTGGACTTCTTTCATATATAATCATTTACTCCATCATGAACAAAACATATTTAATTTGTACCATAAACAGATGGTGAGCCCAGGTCAGGGTGAGGGTGCCGGTAGTGCCGGAGCCACAATAAGAGAAACTAAACAGGATTTGAAAAAGGAGGTGGAGCATCTACAAAAAGTGACATACCAGTTGCGCAAGAGAAAAGTATGTAATGTATGTTCTTGCACTTGTTTTAGTGTTTTCACTGACCACTGGCCACGGAAAAGGTCAAAATTGTCCTCGGTTTCAATGCCTTGACCAAAATATGTATTCTTTTACATCAGATGGTCAGCTCATCTGAAATATGCAAGGAGTAAAGGTATTAAAGGTAAATGAGTTTAAATACCTGGGGTCATTTTAAGCAAATTGACTTCCATGTCTCCTCAGAAATATTAATAGTTAGGTCATCTCTCCAAGATTATAACTTAGAAACTGATGTTTCTGGGGAGGCAGAGACAATCCAGTTCTAGAATGTTGACATTAAGCCTTTGTTAACACATTTTTCTCACCATTAACTCCTCTAAATTAGTTAACTGGGGGACGTTGAGAGACTGATTTTGTATGGAAGAAATGAAGCTTCTAATCTGTAAATACTTAAAGAAGTGTTTTGGGGGGATTTGAAATTTTGAGACTAAATCCTCAAATTAAACCATTATTCCATCACAAAAAAGATCACCCACTTTCCTAACACCTTTTTCTGCGCAACCCTGGAACCCTGTGTCCAAATTTCCTGGTACAAATAAGGCATTTCCCCCAAATAGGACTAAAATGAGAGAGATTATTCTTAATATTCAAAATTTCTTTTATTGTAAACCAAACTTCAATCATATTTCGGACTATAGGATTATTTGTTTCTTTCTTTAATTGTTTTGGCTGTGCAGAGTATAAGTACAAGTTTAATGGCATTTTAAGAGAATTTGCTTCCATGAAAAATAAAACATTATTGTCCTTAGATGAATAGCCAAATAGTACCAGTAAAAGTTGGGGCATTTCAACCCCCCTGTATCAAAGGCAAGATACAACAAAGACAAACAAATGCGGGGATGCTTCTTGTTCCAAATAAACTCTCTGATTAATGACGCTAGTTTGGTAAACAATCCAGCAGGAGGAGCCAGTGGGACATTCTGAAACATATACAAGAGTTTAGGTAATACATTTATTTTAAGAACACTTATAGATAGTGGTAAACTTATCCAACGCTCCAGATCTTTGGAAATTTTCTGTAGAATTGTATTATATTTAAGTACCACCACATCTTTTATTTTAATGCCTAGATGAGTGAATTCAGAATTAACAGTAAAGCTCTTGTTTAAGTAACATTAATGATGATTTTGTTACATTTACTTTATACCCTGAGAAGGCCCCAAACTGGTCTATTAAATCCTTTACAGCAGACACAGAAGTTTTTAGTTGCTTTAAAATAATATGACATCATCAGCAAATAACGCAATTCTATGCTCCTTTCTACCAATCTTAACACCTTGTATTTGTCCACTGGTTCTAACCGCTATTGCCAGAGGTTCAATAGCTAAAAGGAATAAAAGTGGAGATAATGGTGAATCCTGCGGGCACCCTCATTGTTGCATTCTGAATTATATAGCGTTTCATAAAAAACTTTAAATGCATTGTTTATCTCGATTGGGTCTATTATGATATTTCCATTTGAAGTTTCAAGTTTGGTAATTGCCCTTTCAGATTGCTGCTGTTTTATACGCTAAGCCAGGAGTTTGCTGGGTTTTTCACCTTGGTCATAGGATTGTTACTTTAATCTCAATAAATGTACAGCTGCTTTTTCGCTTGTCATTTCGTTATATTGCGTTCTCAATAGTAATAATTCTTTGACATTGTCCTCCTTATTCTGGCCTGATTGAAAGCTGGTCTCTTCTAACATTTTTATTTTTTTATTCCAGATATTTTATCTTTTGGTTTCGTTCTCTTGTTTTCTTACTAGTATAGCTTATAATTTGCCCTCTTAAGTATGCCTTGAAGGCGTCCCATCTCACACTTGCCGATGTTTGATTTGAATTGTGCTCAAAGTATTCATTAATTTGCTTGCCTAAAACTCAAGAAACTGTTTGTCTTGCATCCACTTCAATTGAAACCTCCATTCAATTCGAGTTTTAATCAGTTTTGACTCTATGAAAGTCAAAGTAACGGCTGCATGGTCAGATATTATTATTTCC